CAATGTAGAGATAATATCGTCTGCTGCGGGAGGCAACCCCGCGATTCAGCCTATAACCTCCAGAGACCCTACTATAATGCCTATTACTCTGGGGTCGAGCAGTACCGCCGCGACGGCACCGAGAAACCCCAGCGATTTGGCCATAGTGCAGGCTAGCCTAACCCTAAGTAGTGTTCATAGAGTAGAACCGACAGATTCTGATTAGTTAACCGTGGTACGGGTTAGTCCAGGCTTGACCAGCAATCACGCAGTAGAACCAACAAACTCTAGTGATTTGACTTTGATGCAAGGTAGTTTAAGCTTAAGCAGCACCTACGCAACAAAACCGCCAAACTCTGGCTAGTTAACCGTGGTGCGTGGTAGTCCAGGTTTGACGAGCAACCCCGCGGTAGAACCAACGAATTCTGGCGATTTAACTGTGGTGCGGGGTAGTCTAAACCCCGGCAGCAATTCTGCAGCGGGACCGACAACTTCCAAAAACCGGGCTCTAGCGCCACCAGCTTTAAGCTTAAGCAGCAATTCCGTAGCAAAGCCCGCAACTTCCACAGGCGTGACTACAGCATCATATCGTTCAAGCTTAATTCATCCCAGAAGCGTAGACAAGACAGGCCCAGCAAGCACGACCACACACAAGTCTAAGCCAAGCCCGCCCATAACAAGCGCCGAGATCTCAAGCACACTGCCTACCAAGCCTCCCACACACCCTCTAGAACCGACCTCCGTCTATTCTGCCCTACCCAACACCCTTCGCCAATCTAGCACAGATGCTCCAGGCAGCACCTAGACGCCGACGCTCACCAGCACGCTGTCCCGCACCGCACATGGCATAGCTACTTAGGAGGCCATGTCCGCATCACGGCAAGATCGTACGTCAGGGAGCATAGGCATTTCTCTTCCGCCCTTAACAACGACAACGGCACCCCTTCCTACGACCGCGTCCAAGCCGCAGACGGCTATACATGCCGTGGCGATTAATGCGAGCATAACCGTAGACGGTAGTCCGCTAACCGCCACCTCACTTGCGCCGTCTCGAGACGGCGTCCCTGTGAATACAGCTAAGAACCTGACTACCGTCGGCGGCACTACGGCCAGCCAGGCCATACAGAGTAGTTTCACCAGCCGCACCTCCACGGCTAGCGCAGTGACGCTCTCCCGCGGAGAGACAGCCGCGACAACCATCCTCACAGAGGCCCCTAGCCCAACACGAGACGGTCCCTTAGGGCGACTTCAGACGCCGGTGCAGGGACTGCCACGCGTCATCCTGCCTAGAAGCTTGATTACTTCCAGTGATGGTAGCCTGATTTAACTC